AATTTGGAAAAGGATAGTGAGAATAGCAGCACAACTGGAAGAATATAATTGATGTCACTGGATTGTACATGTAGAAACTTTCCAAATAGTGTAACTTTGGCTATGTATATCTTCACCAAAAAAAAGGTCCTCAAGGTCGAGAAGGGAGCATGTTGACATGTCGTGGGGTTGTTAACCAATGTCATAAAACAATATGTGTACTGACCATTTAATGAGAAACTATTTGTTCTGTAAACCTTCATCTAAGGTACAATAAAAAAATTTTTAAAAAAATCATTATTAATCATCGTGTTTTGCATGTGCTACTCAAGTAATAACAACTTCCAAGAACTAATAAAATTATTTTTGCTTACGTGACTCTTGAGGACAAAAACAAAATGTATACCAACTACTGTACTAGACCCCCTGCCGCTGAGTTGATCCTGACCGAGTCTTTTAAAAAAAGTCTGTAAAAAAAATCTTATAATGACAGTTGTAGTTGTTGAGTACCATCAACTTGATTCCGACTCCTAGTAACCCCATGTGACAGAGTAGAACTGCCCCATGGGGTTTTATAGGCTGTAATCTTTAAGCAAGCAGATCATCAGAGCTTTCTTCTGCAGAGCTGCGGGGTGGGTTCAAACCACCAACCTTTTGGTTAGCAGCTGAGCACTAAACTATCTGCACCACCAAGGCTCGTTATAAGGATGACAGTAAACACTTAAATTAGCTCAGTGCTTTTTGTTTTCTTATTTGCACTCTTATGTTGAAAGAGAGGGTAAGTAAGTAAACCACAAAAGGTTGCGAAGCAGTGAGCACGGAGTTCGCAGTCGGGATTTTACTTGTACAGCAAAGTGTGAGTCCAGTAACTGTTAACTGGGGATTTTATCTCTAGACTCTTGAGTCCAACTGAAAGAATCCAAGAATCCCCTTTCCAGGAGGGCTTCGGTGCCCAGGGATATCCATGTGTAAAAAAGAACACCCAAGAAAATTCCTAACATAGAGGTCATAAACAAGACCACAGGAAAAGATATTATCTAGGAGGGAGTGGAAGCATTCTGTACTAGCTCGGCTTTATGATACCTTATTTATTATTAAAGTTACAATGTATATATTATAGGCAAAGTTTATTGCACTAATTAACTCATTAACAACCTCCAGAGAGAAGCCAGACTTATCTGCAGGCTGGTTTGCTGAATTTTAATAATCTAGATAAAGAGAAAAGGAGTGTGCCAGGTTCTGGGAAAGCCTCAGCACTCCACAAACGGATCTGATTTATTCAGTGAGCCCTATCATAGAGAAAAGTGAACTGTGGATTAAAAGAAGAATGTCCTCCATTCATTTACAGTACAACAGATTTGGCTAATTTAAACGAGGCATGTCTTTATTCACTCTCCATCCTGTCAAATTGGGGCAGCAGCTGGTTTATTCTGGAGTCCACGCTAGCCAAGCTAGGAGGGGTTATTAGGAGGGGTTGCTAGGAGGAAGGGGACTAAAGACTGGGACAGGGAGGTTTGGGGGACAGCTTAGCCTCCAAGACACTAAGCATTTTAGGTCTGGATGCGGTTCATGATGTCTTGAATGATTTCCGATGTGGTACCACATCCTCCAATGTCTGGTGTATGGATATCTTTGTTGTCCATGGATGCCAAGACCGCATTGCGAATGGAGGTGGCATAGGAGTTGAGCTCAAGGTAATCCAGCATAATGCAACTTGCCAGAAGCATAGCAGTAGGGTTGGCAACATTCTTCTTGGCTATATACTTGCCTGTTTGCCTTGTACCTGTCTCAAACACTGCATACAGTTGGCCATAGTTGGCTCCTGGCACAAGGCCTGCCCCCCCAATCAACCCTGTGCAAATATTGTGGATAACGTTGCCGTAAAGGTTAGGCATCAACATAACATCAAACTGCTGGGGCCGGGTTACCAGCTGCATGGTGGTGTAGTCCACAGTCATGGTTTCAAAGGTGATCTGAGGATAGCGTGATGCCACCCGAGCACAGCACTGAAGGAAGAGACCATCTGTTAGTTTCATGATGCTGGCCTTGTGCACAGCTGTCACTTTCTTGCGACCTATCTCCTGTGCCAGCTGGAAGGCATATTCAGCAATGCGCAAAGACTTGGTCTCTGTAGTGATCTTTAGGGTCTCTACCACGCCATTCACACTCTCATGCTCCAGGTTGTTGTACTCACCCTCTGTGCTTTCTCGAATAACAATGATGTCTACATCGTTGTGCCGGGTGACCACACTTGGCAGACTCTTACAATGGATGACATTGGCGAAGAGATCTAGGGAGGTGCGAAGCATGCTGTTGAGAGATGTATGAGTCAACCGCAGGTTATGGTCAGTTGCAATGTTGCCCTTCAGTGCCACACAGTTTCGACGGATGGACAAAATGGCATTGTGAAAGTCCTCTAAACAACAAGTGGAGTCCACCTGCACCTCCTCAAAATCCACAGGCACACGTGCATGTGTGAACACAGACTTCACATGCGACATAAGTTCAGGCCCAATGCCATCCCCAGGAATCATAGTCACTGTGTGCCGCCCACCATACTTGGCTGATGGAGGAACCAACTGATGTCCAACATACGTGGGTAACCGAGGACGATAAGAGATGCTCCTCAGAGAGGTCTCATAGCCAAGTAAAATCTCCCAAGGATGGCAGAGAACAGTAGGTCGGAAAATTGCCTTCACAGTGCCGCTGGTGGCAGCTGTCAGCAACTTCAGCGCCATGATCCCTAAATTTATTTTAAGTAAAATTGTGTGCTCTTCCTCTTGCTTTGGTGGAATTATTGGTCCATAATTCTTGCCTAGGTCACAATTAGAAATTCTCTCTCCTACCTTGTGTTCTATTTTGGCCAGACATTCTACTGTAGTGAGAAAGATAGCTACACAGAAGGATAGCGATGCATTACACAGTAGAAAAGACAACATATTTTAGAGTTGAATAATAATAATTTATCATTGTTATTCAACATGCTAAGCTCAGCACGAAATGCTTTTTATACATAGCTGTTATTTAATTCTCATTTCATGTTATTTGATTCTCATGTCAACCCTATGAAGTAAATATTATTATTCTCATTTAAATGACAAAACTGAGGCTTTAAGAATTATAAAGTAATTTGCCAAAGGTCACACTGGCTAATAAATGAGGACTCAAGACTCCTCTGGACATCTGACTTCAAAACTATGTTTTAACCAGTATGCTCTTCTGCCCCCCACGTTTAGTGAACTAAACTCTAATTTAGTTCACTTAATTTTTAAGGTGGAGTTTCACTGGGCAGACACCACTACTAGTAAGGCATTTTATTTTAGGATTTTTTTTTTTTTTTTTAGAAATCATTTTTTATAGTTTAATTAACTTTACTGAGGTATACTTTACGTTTATACACTGCCTCCATTTTAATTGTATATTTCAGTGAGTTTTGAAAAACTTATACACCAGGCAACCACTACCATAATGAAGATACAGAGCTTTCTCTTCACCCCCTAAATTTCCCTTGTGCTCCCTTCTAGCCAATATCTCCTACATCCTCAACCCTAGGCAATGCCTGAGCTACTTTCTGGCACCACAGATTAAGTTTTGTCTTTTCTGGAGTTTCACATATATGGAATCATTTTGCATGTACTCTTGGGTTTGGCATCTTCGGCTCAAGACTTTTTTTGATATTCATTCATGTTGTTTTGGTTATCTGTAGTTTGTTCCTTTTTATTGTTGTTAACTTTAAAAACTGCTAAATGATTTTCTAAAGTGTTTGTACCATTTTACATCCCCACCAGCAATGTAAGAGAATTTCAACTGCTCCACATCCTTACCAATATTTAGTATTGTCAGTATTTTTAATTTTATCCACTCCAATGGGCATCCATTCCATTGTGTTTTTGATGGGTATTTTCCTCCTGACTACAATCTGATCATCTTTTAATGCATTCTTGTAGCTTGGAAGCTACAAGCATTGGTATCTGGTATTTCTAGAAACCCACTAGTCAAACCTTGAAAGCTGGCAACCTCTGTTGTCTAAAGCTATCCCATCTGTGCCTTTAAATTGAAAATTAAGCATTTCCTTAATTATAAATTGGCCACAATCTTGTTATTTAACTTTCAGGCACTGAGGTCCCTGATGCAGGTTAGTGGTTGGTGGCGGAGGTGGCTGACTTATTTATGAAAAGTTCCAAAGGGCTAACATTAAAATCCAAGGATAAAGATGCAAAACTAATAATAGCAACCATTTACAGAACATTCACCACATGCAAGGTTCTATGATGGATATTTCACATACATCAGCATAATGCAGCAAGTTAGTTACTATTATCTCCATTTTACAGGTGAGAAAAGCCAGACTATCAGACCTCCTGGAAACTAACATCACTGTGAATGAACAGAGAAATGGCACCAGGTGAGCTAAGCATTTCTAGGCATCCTGGGGGCCTAGGCCAAAACCAAAAACCAAACCCATTACCGTCGAGTCGATTCCGACTCATAGCAACCCTATAGGACAGTACTTGCCAAATTTGACGATCCAGGGATCTTACTGAAATGCAGTAGTTGGGGGTAGGGGTTCTGCATTTCTAAGGAGCTTCCTAGTGATGCAGAACTACTGGCCCCTCTACCACACTTTGAGCAACAAGGGCCTGCCCCTGACCTTCTCACTGAAGAAAGCACAGTCCTGCCGGGGCAGCATTTCTTGGGCGTAGAGGCAGCCTGCTGGTAGTAAAGAAAGGAAATAACACTGCCCCCTCCTCCAAAAAAACTGATATCAAAAGGCTGTACACAGACTAGGAGCCAGCTGGATACCTGTTTGTCACTTAATACGTCACACAAAACAGCTAATAGTTTGGTACTAACGGGGGAAGACCAGATGATAATACCAGGACAGAAATCTGGCAAAAAATGACCTGGACACAGCCACATAATTCCGTTTCTCCCAGTGGGCCACTCTTCGATGAGCATACACCCCCATCCTCTCCCTAATGCTAGAGGCAGATAAATCTTTTAAAGGTGTAGATGAAGAATGAAGGCATGAAATTAAGAGTATAAATTGGATTATGACTGAGATTTCAATAACCAGATTGACCTACAGACATCCCTGGACAATGCAAAAAGGTTTTAACCACAATGGGACAAAAATAAGACATGTGCTGTGCAGCTACAAGAATGATGAGAGTATCACATTTCCACATATTTCAGTGGCCACAGTTCAATCAAACCTGCTGTAAAAGTGATCCCAGGACAGTAAAGGGGTTTAAGCAAGGGAGAGACATACTGAGACTTGCATTTTCAAAATGATCATTTGGTAAGCCACTTGGAGGATAAACCACAAGCTGATGGCTTGGTGGCAGGGAGGGCAATGAATAGGCTATGACTGCGGTTCTCAAAAAGTCATACCTGGACCAGCAGCATCAGCATCACCTGGAACTGGTCAGAAATGCAAGTTTTTGGAACTGGAACCATCTCTAGATCTACTGAATCAGAAAGGCTGGAGTTGAGACCCAACAATCTGTGTGTTACTAAGACCTCCAGGTGATCATGATGCATGCTGAAATTTGAGAAACTCTGGGCTATGAATTGACTCAACAACGGCAGCGGGTTTTCAGCAGGGCTACGACTAGGAGCCCTGGTGGTGAAGTGGTTAAGTGCTCAGCTGCTAACCTAAACATCAGTGATCTGAACCCACCAGCTCACTCTGCAGGAGAAAGATGTGGCAGTCTACTTCCATAGAGACTTACAGCCTTGGAAAGGCTGTAAAACTGGGTCAGTTTTACTCTGTCCTATAGGGTCACTATGAGTTGGAATCAACTTGCGGGCAGTGGGTTTGGTTTGGGCTATGAATTGGTCCCCATAGGAAATGATAAGCAGCTGAACTAAAGTGAAGGCAATGAGGAAGAAAACATTTTCAGAGATATTTAGGAGCAAAATAAACAGGACTAGGCTATTGACCTGGGAAACACTGAATATTATTCTTAATGTTTTCAACAGACTGGGTGAATGATGATGTATGTAACCAGTGAAAATGAACAACACTGGACTGAAAATGAGTTCAGTTTCAGACATAATGGGTTTGGGGGGCCTGTAGGACATCCACATGCAGATGCCCAGTGGGTGGCTTTATAAATGAGTCTGTAGCTCCAGAGAAGGTATCAAGGGTGAGGGTACAGATCCAGGAGTCATCAACATGTGGGAGAGTTAACCACACAGGAGTATATGAAATAGCCTACAGCAGAGGTCCTCAACCTTTCTTCTACTCTGAAAGATGATGTATGACATTCACAGGAGACACACTCCCAGCAGCATACCCAGATTGTAATGAAAACTATACACACGCACAGACACACACACAGAGTTGGCCAAATAATGCCAAGAGGTCCCAAATATTTTTATATGTCATACTCAAAAAAGCATTTTACCAGAAATGGTTAGTGAAATCATCCATTTAACGATCTCAAAACATGTCATTTTATGAGGAAAAAATATAGACACATGGCTAATCTAATATAAAAACAACATTTAACTATATTCTAAAGATCAAATCCAGACCCCCAAAGGTAATTTGAGAAAATCAAGCATGGGGCAATAAAGCCAAAGCAAAAATAATGCCTATTTTGTGGTTATAGAGTATAACATATAGTGTTTGTGTTCATCCATTATGCTAATATAAACAGTATTATTGCACATGTCATTTAAATTATCACATTGCCTTTGATTTGGAAGCTGTAACTATAGCCTCATTCTCACTTCTAAGCAATGCAAATGTAGATGCATACACACGCTTTCTTCATCTCTCTTCCTTATTAAAAATGTATCCATGGGTAAAATCAGGGGAAAAACTCAACTACAAATCCACAATGTACAGATTATAATATTTCACAATTGCCATAACTATTAATGACACATCGATAACCATAGTTCATGGAGGTTTTCAGCAAATATAAAATAAGCTATGAATTATGAGCAATTCACTTCCAGCTGGCTCTAATTCCACCTTTTCCCCACACAAGTGAGCATACTCTACTGAAATGCAAATGAATAAGTGTGACATCCTTATGACAGTAGCTTTGAGGTGGATCTAACTGATTAAAAAAAAATAAATCATTCACAAACTTTTGTAACTGAATGCGTATGAATAAGTGAGTGAGTGGTCTGTAACCTTTGGCAAGTTACATGACCTCTTTTTGAACTTGCATCGTAGTAGGAGTAGATAGTAGAGTGATAGAGACAGAGAGACAGATAGATAGATGATAGAGAGAGAGACAAGCAACAAATAATCGGATATTTTAAAGTCAGAAAGGAGAAATGCTATGAGATAAATATAAGGCCTGTTGACTTCAAGAGGCTTACAATCTAAGCAGAGTTAAAACACAATGTATTTAGGTAAAATGTGAACTCAGAGTTGATACTAAATAGTTTCTGACCCAGGTAGTAATGTGGAAGTACAGAGAATGGGCTGACGGTGTACCTTGGCTAAGAAAGTTAGGAAAGAGACTTCAGTCAAATCTTAAAGAAGGGCTGGGAACAGCTGAATGCAGAGGGAAGGGGAGGGTGGTTTAAAATGGCGGCAAAGAAGTGAAAAGCCTGTAAGTAACACTGAGCATCCCCATTTGGCTGAAAGGAAGGGTTTATGTAGAAAAACAGTGGCAGACAAATGGGGACGGTAAATTGGGGTCAGAAGGCAAGAAGCCTTGAATGGGAAACTAAGGAATTTATATGACACCCTGAAGGCAGCAGAGAGACA